CTTGCAGCTCGGCATCTCGTACTCGACAGATCGTGCTCGAGTTCATCATGCTTTCGAGCTCGGCAGCTCGTGCTGCAGTTCTGCATCATGCCTTTGAGCTTGGCAGCTCGTGCTTGAATTCTGCATCGTGCTTTTGAGCTCGTCAGCTCGTGAGCTCGTGCTTGAGCAAGATGCAACTCCTGCTCCACATCTTGCAGCTCGTGCTTCAGCACTTCACAACTCATGCTCCAACAGTTCACAGCTCGTGCTCTTGCAGACTTCGCAACTCGCGTTGCAGCAAGGATTTTGCAACTCGTGCACCAGCAGGAAGTTCGTGGCTCATGCTCCAGCTGGGACTGTCATACTGGCAAGCTGCCGAGTCAAGGACTCATCTCTTGGATTCTGCAAGAACAAATTCAAGAAGGAGGAAGATCCCAACTTGCTTTTCAGTAAAAGAAAATAAAACAACATCCAAAATAAAGTAAAATAATAAAAGATTAGGATCTATCTCCCCAGTAATTGTAGAGCTATAACCAAGCTCAAATGGTTTATTGCCCAGGGATGCTTGTGGTCGAAACCCGCGTCTCCTCGTTGGTTTCATAAAGTGCTGTTAATTTGTTGCAAGCACAGGCTAACCATGATCATATTTTGTTAATTGCTCGCGTCTTCCTTAACGAGCTTCATTACAAATTTGCTCGGTGCATGCCGCCGAGCTGGGAGATTGCTTTATTGCTGCAGAGCTGAGCTACTCTGCCTTGCCGAGCTCGACTGCTGCGCTGCCACCGAGTTGGACAGCCTTGCCGAGCTCGACTGCTGCGCTGCCACCGAGTTGGACAGCCTTGCCGAGCTGGACTGCTTTGGTGCTGTCGAGCTGGGCTGCTGTGATGGTACCGAGCTGGACTTCCTTGCCGAGCTGGGCTGCTATGATGCTGCCGAGCTGGACTTCCTTATCGTGCTGGGCTGCTGTGATGCTGCCGAGCTGGACCATTGACGAGCTGGACTGCTTTGCTGCTGCCAAGTTGGGCTGTTATGTTGCTGCCGAGCTGGACTACTTTGCCACCGTTATCAAGCTCGAGCTCATCTTATTTCATTGAGGGTGCCCCATTTATGAGCTTATTTTTCTAGGAGCTTTCATGGTCCTGTGCTCACACTCTTGCATCATGGCTTCCTTTCACTGTCTCAAGCCGATTCTTTTATGCTTGCAGCTCGTGTTCATGCCATCGAGCTGGGAGACTGCTTTACTGCCGCAGAGCTGAGCTACTCTGCCTTGTCGAGCTGGGCTGCTGTGCTACCACCGAGTTGGACAGCCTTGCCGAGCTGGACTGCTTTGGTGCTGTCGAGCTGGGCTGTCATGCTGCTACCGAGCTGGAGCACTGCTTTGAGCTTTGCCACCGCCGAGCTAGACTACTTTGGTACTGCCGATCTGGGTGACAGCTTTGTCACTGTCGAGATCGGCGACAACTTGTCGAGCTGGGAAGCTGCTTCGTCGCTGCCAAGCTAGGGGACTACTTTGTCACTGCCGAGCTGTGTGACTTCTTTACCGAGCTGGGGGGCTGCTTCGTCGTTGCCGAGCTGGGGGGGCTGCTTCGTCGCTGCAGAGCTGAGGGATTGCTTTGTCATTGACAAGCTGGACTGCCTTGTCCTTGTTGAGTTAGGCGATGGCTTTGCCAAGCTGGGCAACTGCTTCGTCGCTGCCTGGCACTAACGAGCTGGGCGGTTGCCTCGTCGCTGCCATTAAGCTTGAGCTCGCCTTGCCTCATCGTGGTCGCCACTTTAATGCTCCCGTGCTAACCATTTCTCTTTATTTATTATTACTATATATATATATAT